TATTAAAAGTTGGTCTAAAAAGTAAATTAAATATATTTAAAGTGGGTTAACGATATTTAACTTATAATAATTAAAAAGAGTATATGAAGAAGTTTTTTTTCTTTAAAACCTGAATTTTTTTTTTATTTTTAAACTTGGAATGAGGAATGTGGAAGGCCAAGAGATGGAATGCGAAATGACAAAAATTAATGCAAATTCAGTTTTTTTCTTAATGATTGGCTTTAATGTTAGGCTTCCTCTTAAGCCTATAAGTAGAGGTTATGGATAACAGGAAGAAACACAAGTGAGAAGAAGGAGAAGGGGAAAAAAGAGGGAGAGTGGAAAGGGGAGTCTTCTGCTAGTAAAGATTTTTCAGAAGAGAAAAGTCATCTTCATCCACCGTAACAAACAAGCAACGAGATCTTTTTCGTGTTGCGGCCAAGTGGAATGTTGTTCACGTCTTGCGTGGTAGGCGAACAACCAGATATTCTTTCTTGTTGCAGCTAAGAGGAAATTCATCTCCATCCGGTATAACAACCGAGCAATTGGATCTTAATTCATGTTGAGGCAAATTTTAAAGTCGTCTTCTTAATAAATTAATAAGATGAAAGTCGTAAAATTTTAAAATAATTGGATCTTAATTCATGTTAAGTCAAATTTTAAAGTCGTCTTCTTCCTAAGTAGCATGCGAGCAATGTGATTTTTTTTCGTGTTGCGGTTAAGATGAAAGTCATCCCCATTCTGCTTAGCAAACCAGCCACGGTATTTTCTTTTGTTTTGCGACCAGGAGAAAAGTTGTCCCTGTCATGCGCAGCAGACGAGCAACTGAATATTCTTTCATGTTACGGCGAAGAGGAAAGTCGACTATGTCCTGCGAGCAGACAAGCAACAGGATTTTCTTTCACATTGCCTTCAAGAGAAAAGCGTTTCTGTCCAAGCAACAGGGTCTATCCAACGTAGCAGGTGAGAAACATGATCTTCTTAAAAAATAAGATGAAGAAAAAAAAAAATTAATAAGATAAAAGATGAAAGTCAAATTTTAAGAAGATCTTGTATTAATTTATTTTAATACAAAAAAAAATATGAAAAAATTAATTTTATTTTGTGATCTTAATTCATGTTAAGTCAAATTTTAAAGTCGTCTTCTTCCTAAGTAGCATGCGAGCAATGTGATTTTTTTTCGTGTTGCGGTTAAGATGAAAGTCATCCCCATTCTGCTTAGCAAACTAGCCACTTTATTTTCTTTTGTTTTGCGACCAGGAGAAAAGTTGTCCCTGTCATGCGCAGCAGACGAGCAACTGAATATTCTTTCATGTTACGGCGAAGAGGAAAGTCGACTATGTCCTGCGAGCAGACAAGCAACAGGATTTTCTTTCACATTGCCTTCAAGAGAAAAGCGTTTCTGTCCAAGCAACAGGGTCTATCCAACGTAGCAGGTGAGAAACATGATCTTCTTACACATTACGATGAAGAGGAAATTTGTCATCGTCCTGCATAACAAGCGAGCAATGGACTCCTCTTTCACGTTGTGGCGAAGATAAAAGTCGTCTCCGTCCTGCGTAGCAGGTGACCAACTGATCTTTTTTCGCATCGATGTGATGAAGAAAGTTATCTCTATCCCTGTACAACAGGTGACTTGGGATCTTCTTGCTCGTTATTGCTGCACATTTCAGTGAAGATTAAGAAATAGTAGAGTTTTCCCACCACACTTTGAGTGGGAGATTTTCATGATTTTGTAGCAATGATATCTCTTGCAGCCATTGTTCCAGTTCTTGTTGATCTTTATAGCTTTTTTTTAATCATCTGATGTGATATTTATAGATGATGATAATGTGTTT